AAAATCAGCCAGTTATATGCTTAGCCGATCATATATTTTTCGATACATGACCGACGAGTCAGATTTTTTCACCGCAGTAGTTGGCCATTTCTTTCTGCGGTAGACCAGTTGTCATCCAAGGCTACAAGACCCTGTCTCTCCTGCTATTTACTCATAGCTACAGAAGAAGAGGATTCACACCTTTCCCAAGGGAATTAGCACGTAAGTGAATGTAATGGATTCGACTCGAAAGTCAATCAGTCAGTTAAGTGAGACACGCGTGGGTAATCATGTATCTTTCGATATATGACTGACGAGGCAGATTTTTCTCCCGCAGTAGGTTGCCATTTCTTTCTGCGGTAGACCAGATAAATTAGATAAAAAATAATAGGCCAGAATAAAATAACAAACCAGTTACCATCCAGAGCTATAGAAACCGGTCTACCCTGTTATTTACCCATATTTTCCCAAGGGTATTAGCACATATGTGAATGTAATGGATTCAACTGGAAAGTCAGTCAGTCAGTTATGTGCCATACGTGATAAACTCTTAAGCGATCATGTATCTTTTGATACATGACTGACGAGGTAGATTTTTTTCCCGCAGTAGGTTACCATTTCTTTTTGTGGGAGACCAGTTGCCATCCAAGGCTATAGATCCCGGTCTATCCTGCTATTTACATATAGCTGTTTTAGAAGAAGATTCATACCTTTCCCAAGGGAATTAGCACGTAAGTGAATGCAATGGATTCGACTGGAAATTCAGTCAGTCAATTATATGCCATGCGTGATACACACTTAGGCGATCATTCATCTTTCGATACATGACTGACGAGGGAGGTTTTTTTTCCCGCAGTTGGTTGCCATTTCTTTCTGCGGTAGACCAGTTGCCATCCAAGGCTATAGAACCCGGTCTGTCCTGCTATTTACCCATAGAGAAGAAGGGGAGAAGAAGAGTGTTCATACCTTTCCCACGTGTATTAGTACGTAATGGATTCGACTGTAATTTGAATTCTCCTTCCCCATTAACTCAATCCAAGCCGCTATCCATTATCCCACTGTGGTTTGCTGAAATAGCTCGACTTAACCGTAAGTAATATTTGAATAGAGTTTCTTTTCTCATACACCGTGTGCTTTGAGAGAATATCGGACTTCAGACTCAGACCTGACCTCAAGTGGAAATCGTACATATGATGCAATTAAAATGACCGGCTTCCTGTACCGCTCCAGCAAGTACCTTACACCTCGTGCGATCCTGTAACTTTACAAGGACCAGATCAGACCGAAAACGGTGTACGTTGTTATATTTGGGCGTGTTATGGAGTGATTTCACAGTGGAGGCTTGTATTTGTACTAAGTCGGTCCTAAAACAGGTTCGACGTACAAGACGTTAGGAACTTCATATAATAGGTATGACGCAGTAATCTAGTTGGGGTCGCTGATACTTTTAGTAAAGATTTTCCAAGCAAAGCTTAGATGTGGCACAAGGCCGAAAGCATGGGGCATCCAGTGAGGATCGAACTCACTTTTCAGTAGTAACTGACCTAGCAAGACAAGCTTGCTAATCATTACACAACGCCGAGGTGCCCCGCTGATACTTTTAGTATCCGACTGTTGAGATGTTGAGTGTTTTCGCGTGCGTGTATTGAAATAAGGACAAACACATACGTAGGGAAAAAATACTAGAGATTAGTAGTCAAACGAACGCAGGTTAGTCAGTAACAATCAGAAAGAGTATAAAGTCCAACTGTATCTTCCGGTAGAGAGACGGAAGTGTCATGGTCACCTGATCTTCCCAGAACTCTATAGAACTGTCCTATTAGTAGTAGAGAGATCAGTCCATTCTGATGAGAAGGTGGGTGGCCCCAACACCGACTAACGGTCGTCCGGCATCGACTGACTGACCGACTCTAGCGACTCACTCGTTACTCTTACTATTTCTACTTATTATAGGTGGGAGAGTCTATTAACTATAGAATAGGTGTGTTCCACTATAACAGGGCGGGAGTTGCCCGGTCCTCACTTTTCAGTCTTTGGGTCCTTTAGGGTGACGAATTATTTTCCACACCACAACCTCCCTGTCTCTTACACGGGTAGGATGTAGGGAGCCTTTCGCTTTTCTATTGCTACTTCCCTGGAACGTGCTCGGACGAACGTCATTCCTTGGTCGCGCTAGGTGTAACCTTCACGGCTTGGACTAACCATCCCATTTAAATATTATCAAACCACCCATATTTCCTTCCGTATTTCATCGGTGAGAATTAAGTTCCACTGAAACAGCTTTTTCATGTGATCGACTTCTCTGTGGAACAGACTCCCAAGAGGATGTTTCCTTGATCACTACAACCTTAAACGGATCAAATCTAGAGTTTACCGTTATCTTACTTTCCTATCCGTATAAACTACCTCTTAACGTGTCGCTTTACCTCGAGTGGCAACCGGGCCTTTTACAACGTACCCCTTACTGTAAAAAAAAAATATATATATATATATATACACAGCTGTATAATTAGAGAAAGTGTAGTAGGGACTCTCTTCCGGATTCTTTCTTCCTGTTATCAACAAGCTTCAAAAATTTATATGCAAAAGTCAATCTCCATCTCGTGTCTTGCTGAATTCTGTTCTTTTATTGTCCTTTCAAAGCACTAAATTTTCTCATCCTCTTGTTCTCCGAGTAACATTGCGTCTTAGTGGCATTGTTACCTTACTTGGTATAAAATAATAAAAAAATATAACAAAGACATAAAGGTATTGGATAAATACCAATGAAGTGACTTTAATTTAATACTGTCCCCTTTATTTGCGATGACGGTAATCAAATGTCAAGTTTATTTTGAAATATGTCGTAGAAATTAGATCCAGTTATATCGCACACTTGTCGATAAATCCCCATTTAAGATTCGTCCTGCGTAGATAAACTGCATCCGCGTTCTGGGTAAGACGATAAACTACATCCAACAGCAAGGCCGCTGATCAGGAGGTTTTGAGGAGCGTGGAACCACATCTTAATTGCTGGTGTTCCCAGGTCCACCATGACTTGGAGTAGTACCCTCTGCTGGGGTTCCTAGCTAGAGGCAAGTGGCTAAACCCCAAACTACGAGTTAAACGTGCAAAAATAGGTTTTAATCCCAGCAATGCATTTTTGTCAGAGATTATTACCAGCAATAAATTTTTGAAGGAAAAAATATTAATAACAATACATTTTTTTAAAAAAGAAATATTAACAATAATACATTTTTTGAAAAAATATTAACAACAATAAATTTTTGAAAAAAGAATTACCAGCAATATATTTTTGAAAAAAAAAATATTACCAGTAATACATTTTTGAAAAAAAATATTACCAGTAATACAGTTTTGAAAAAAAATATTACCAGCAACACATTTTTGAAAAAAAATATTACCAGGAATACATTTTTGAAAAAAAATATTACCAGTAATACATTTTTGAAAAAAAATATTACCAGGAATACATTTTTGACAAAAAATATTACCAGGAATACATTTTTGACAAAAAATATTACCAGTAATACATTTTTGAAAAAAAATATTACCAGGAATACATTTTTGACAAAAAATATTACCAGGAATACATTTTTGAAAAAAAATATTACCAGCAATATATTTTTGAAAAAGAAAAAATATTACCAGCAATACATTTTTGAAAAAAAATTATCAGCAATAAATATAACTGATTGAGGTTGATATACCGTAAAACAAACCAAACCAAACCAAACCAAAAACCCCTTAACTCAAATTACTGGCATTCCTTTAATGAACTCTGAATTTAAACTGATTCCAAATTTTTCAGTGTCTCTTAAGTCAATTGAATACAATTCAACTCACTTTTTATCTTTTTACACACAGCTGAAAATTGGTTTGTCTTAAAAATTTTAAAATTTTTCTGTCCAATACATTGCGTATGTATGCTCTAGAAAGAGGATTCTCTTTATTTTCAAAAGCATTATCATCCAAGACTGGCACGAGGCTACGTATATGGAGCGCCGAATAAAAAAAACGATGTATTTTGTTGCTCCGTTGAATTTATAAAACCGAATGCGATCCCCAAGTGAAACTCGTGTGTAAGAGTTTCACTTGAGGATAGGTATCGTTTTTATAAATTCAACACATCCACAAAATACTTAGGTTTTCACTCGGTGCTCCATTTACATAGCCTCGTGCCAGTCTTGGATGAAGGAAATCATAGGTAACCAACGAACGGGTTAGAGAAAAAAGAGTTAAGTGTCGACTTTTCGAAGAATATATGAGAACAGGAAACACGACGTGTCACCGAACCGGTTGGAAACGGTGGGGTCTGCCTTGAAGACATTGAGCAGATACACTTGACCGTTTGTTTACAAGCGAAATATTGGCACTGACAAATTTAGGGGCTTTTGACCCCTCGCTCGATCATTCTCAATCCTTGTCTCTTTCTGATTACTGACTGGATAATTCCCAGACAACATCTGATCTACAAGTTTAACCTCTCCAGTCAACAATCTGGTTCGGGTAGACTGAAGAACGCAAGAAAGTTAGCGTGTGTTAGGGGGAGGGGGATGAGGGAGGTAAGTTAAAAGGATGTAAGCAAAAAGAATTGTGAAAGTGTCAAGTGAATGAATGAACAACAACAACAAAAAAAAAATGGCGTAAGAATAGAAGGCTTACCAAAATAAAAGAGACAATGAAAGAAAACGGAAACATCCTCCCGATGTGTGATAATGGCTACCAAGCTGACGTGATATCTACCAACCACCCCACGCTGTTAGATATGGCACAAGGCAGAATTTAATGTGTGGTATCCGAGCCCGTAGGCTCGGCCAAAAATTTCCCGTAGACCCCCAAATAAAAACGGAGTCGGGTAGCTGTTTCCCAAGACGAGACTCTGCCCTTCGATATAGCCTCGTCTGGGGATCCTCTCTACCTGGAGGCAGAGAGTTTCATTAAGACAGCTGGAGACGAATCTCTAACTGCAGGATATCTACTAACAACCCCACGCTGTCAGATATGGCAAAAGGCCGAAT